TTCACCCAATTTTTCCCAATGGTTACCTTTTAGAGTATGAAAAGTAGAAAACTGACATTGTTACATTGTGTGTGTAGGTCTGTGTCACATTACCACATGTTCTTGAAACTACCACTGGCATCAATATAGAGGACTATACCATTACTAACAAAGTGTGTATATACACACATTCACACTGACCCCCATAGCCTGGCAACCACCAATGTGGTTAATTGTATATGTAACAATTGTATAATTGCATAATTAAACAATTGTATATGTAACAATTGTATAATTGCATAAACAATTATATATATATATAAAACAATTGTACCATTGTATAGATAACAATTGTACAATTGAATAATTAAACAATTGCATATTTATACAATTGTATAATTAATATAATTCTGTCATTCCAAGAATGTTGTATGTAAGGAATCATACAGAGGGTGACTTTTGAGGTTGACTTTCTATATTCAGCTTAATGACATTGAGATGTTAAAAGCTATTGTGCATTATCGATGTTCAGTTTGTTTTGATGGTTGAGTAATATTCCATGGTATGGATGGTTAAACAAACTGTTTATCCACTTATTTCTTCCCAGAGATATTAGTTTCCAAGTTTTGGTTGCTGAAAATAAAGCTATTATGAATAATTGTGTATAGATACTTGTGTGGACGTGTTTTGAGTTCCATGAAGTAAATGGCCAGCTGTGCCATTGCTAGGTGATATGGCAGTTGCAAGTGTATCTTTTAAAAAAACTTGTCAATGTACTTTCCAGCATGAATGCATGATTTTACTTCTGTACTGGCAATGTTTAAGAGATTCTGTTTTTCTAACTCATTGCCAGAATTTAATATTTTCCATATATTTTTAATTGTTTAGCTCTTCTAATAAATGTGTCGTAAGATTCCATTATTGTCTTAATTTGTATTTCCCTAATGCTAGATATATTAAGTAACTTTTTCATGTGCTTTTTTTCTGTCTGTATATTATCTTCATGAAATGTTAGATGATGTTTTTTGCCGATTTACAAATTGGATATTTCGGTTTTTGGATATTGAGTTTTAGTAATTCTTTATGTTGTAGCTACTAACACTGTGGCCTATATAGGATTTGAAAGTTTTTCCCCAGATCTTTAGTTTCTATTTCCATCTCATTAACAAGATTTATTGGAAAAAAAAAAAGAAAGATGAAGTCCATTTTTCAATATTTTTAGTGTTTTGTGCATGTGGTTTCATATCCAAAGACTTTTTTTACATTTTTTATATTTTTAATGATTATGGGCTCATAATCATTAAAATGATTACGTGTATAAATTTATGTGTAAAATGATTAGGTGTATAAATTTACGGGGTTCCATGTGATGTTTTGATACAGGCATACAATGTGCAATAGTCACAGTGGGGCATCCATCACCTCAAATACTTACCAACTCAATGGAATAAATCAAAAAGGCAAGATTGGATAAAAAAGAGGGAAAAGAAATGAACGAAGCCTCCAAGAAATATGAGAGTGTGTGAAAAGACCAACTCTTCGTTTGATAAGTGTACCTGAAAGTGAGGGACAGAATGAAACCAAGCTGGAAAACACTCTTCAGGATATCATCCAGATGAACTTCCCCAACCTAGCAAGGCAGGCCAACATTCAAATTCAAGAAATACAGAGAATACCACAAAGATATTCCTCGAGAAGAGCAACCCCAAGACACATGATTGTCAGATTCACAAGGGTTGAAATGAAGGAAAAAATGCTAAGGGCAGCCAGAGAGAAAGGTCAGGTCACCCAAAAAGAGAACACTAGAATAAACCACCCTTGGATGTAGTGTATAATTCTCTTTAATATATTAATAAGCCCTTTTCACTGTTTTGTAATGTTTTATCTATATTTATGAATGTGGTTTTCTGCAATGTGTATACTTTCTTTGGTTTTGGCACAAGAGTAACACTGGTTGTATACAATGAGTAGGGAAGTGTTGCCTCCTCCATTTTCTAGAAAAGAATGTTTAAAATTTATGTCTCATACAATTCACCAATAATGCACTGAGCTTGTAGATTTTATTTTTGAAAAGGTTTTAATAATAAATTCAATTCCCTTAATAGCTATGAGGTTAAATTTACCTTTGAAATTTCAGTAGAATTTTGTTCGTGTACATTTCCAAGAACGTGTCCATTTTACATAGTCTATAACATTTGTGTGTAGAGTTGTCTATGGCATTCTTTCTTACTGTTTGATGGCTCAGTGACTGTGCTGAAGTTCCTTCCTCCATTCCTATTTTTAGTAACGTGCAGTTTCTCAATTTGTTTTCTTCTTTGTTAGTCTTGCCATAGATGTGTCAATTCTATTGATATTTCTGGAAGAACGAACTTCTGTTTTGTTGCTTTTTTGTTTTCCTTCTATTCCTTAATTCAGTATATTATGCTCTTTATTGTTTATTTCTCTTTATTGCTTGGAGTTAATTTTGCTCTTTTATTCTAATTCTTTGAGATGGCAGGTTAGATTTTTAGAGTTTTAAAATATATATAAACATTTAGACCACTATAGTTTAGAAAACAACACTCGTGGTCTAAAGTTTTCTAGCTTGCTAGGCTGCTTTTCTTGTGGTTCTTTGGCTAGTGAGAGCAAATTTCTCTAGGGACTGCTGTTGCTTTTCTTTTGTTTGTCTGCCCCCATAGTCAGAACCCCGACTTCTCCAGCAGCCAGTGTTCCAGTCACGCCCAACTCCACAGCTGCTCTGCCGTCTTCTTTCCAGCTCTCCGTGTCTTCTTATGTTTGTTTCGTAGATACAAGGTCTACACTTTTCAGTGGTTCTTTGAAGGCAATAGGGGAGTCACTCTTCTTCACTTCCAGAAGCAGAAGTCAATATCTGAGTAATCTTTTAATTACCCACCAGCGGCAGGCACCCCTCAACTCAATTTCCAGCAGCGGGATGAACAGAGGTTCCTTGCACAGAACAAGCTGCACTCCAAGTTGTCCTGGCTTGGTGACACCCCACAGAGTTCACACTAGAAGTCACTTTGTTCTCTCCTACTTGGCTAATGTGGATTTCCTTCTGGTGGGTTCTTTCCTTAGCACACAGTGTGCCAAACTTCTTCCTGAGATCACCCTCATGGGAAGCCTCATCCACTCTTCTAAGGAGGCTGAGCTTTCTGCAATGTATTCTTTTGAGTGTCTCTCTGAGTTGATGCTATTTGTTGAATAAATGAATCCAATTGCCCCCACTCCATGTATGCACGTGACCTGGGAACAGTCTTTTACTCACACATGTCACCTCTGTGGACTTGCTCTGTTCTTCTTTTCCAACTTCTCATGCCATGTCCTGTCCAAGTCAAAACTGCTTACCTCTCCCCTCACCTGGCTGTGAACACTCTTTCCCTGTGTTTCAGGAAGTACAGGTTTGGGCTCACATATCCTTCCTTTCTGGGTGTACATTTTCCCCAGAGGTGGTACATGAACAAAATGTGAAGTTTTTAGAAAGATACAAGTCAAATATTTTATGGGTTGTTAAACTTCTCACCTTAGTGGGGAAATGAGGCCTGTGCCTTCAGGAAATATTTCAGTGTGTCCTCTGTGGTCAGTTCAATTCAACTTTCAGGTCCATTTTTCAGTTGAGATTCCAAATTCAGGCAAGGAAAAGACTCCCCAAAACCCCCAGCATGACATGTGTTTGCTGCAGACTGTCTAACACAGACCATAGCGAATGTCCCAGACAAGCTTGTTTAAGGAGCTGGGACTGGAAGAGAGCGTCTGGGACTGGACTGAAACACACAAATCCGACAGCATGGAGGACCAGATGGAGTTCCTCCAAACAAGATCTGGGTTAAGCTCTAGGACAGATGTCCAAGCGCAGACTGCACCTGCCGTCACCAGACTGAAGGACAGCTTGGTGAAGGCCAGTTTTGGGTTCATTTCAGAGATCACGTGAGGAAAAAAAAAGCAAGGGAAAATATAGGTCATAAGAATCAATCCTGCAAAGTTAAAGCAAAATTGGTTTCTTTAAGCATCATTTTCTCTTCCATTTGGGATGGTTTAAGATGGTCAAAATTGGTGTAAAATGTGCAACTATATAAGTATAAATTAATCAGACTTGTTTTGTGTGAATACACAAGAATATGCATTAAATGTGTTTCATTTCACAAATAGGCTTTCACATACATTATCTCTCTTGAACACTCAAAAAAGAAAAAGCTACAAGACAGTTTAACACCATTTTATTGATGAGAAGATTGAACCATGACCTCTCTATGCAGCTCCTGCACAGTCTCTTCAGGTCTTGAGTGTGCTGTGCCCAGTATCACAGCAATTCTAGTTATGTCCTCTTTTCTCTGCTTAAACATACCTTTCCCACCAACTTTCACTTGGGTCCTGCTTGCTTATTCGCTAAGCTTCAGCATAGATAGCCCTCTTCCAGGATGCCACCACATTCCGGAGTAAGTTATTCTCAGAAATAATTTTCCTGTTGTCACACTTCCTGCACTCCATCATCCCTGCTGTTTTCTTATTCATCTCCTCACTAGATGAGACCTGCTGATGGACAGGGATGAAGTCTCATTGTTAAGGCATTTGTAGCTCTTAGAACTGTGTGTATTCCATGCAGACAGACAATAATACTTGTCAAATGAATGGGTGGCATAGCTGAAAATTTATTATGTATAAAAGTGTATTTATTTCCTATGCACAAACAGGCTAAAAACCAAGCTCCTCTTCCTCAGCTGAAGTAAGCATTCCCTCTAAGTTTATAACTATGATTTCATTTCCTAAGAAGTATGATACCATCTTTTATTTTCCCTAAAATTGTATTCTAACAGTAGGCATTGTTCACTAGCTGACACTCCTTTGGGACTATACACTTATGAAATATACAAGAACTTATGTAAGAATAAAAAAAGTTAAGGTTATATAACCTGCAATCTCTGGATGTGAATGTCTATATAAATTTCAATAATATGATTTCATCATACTCTTTCTTCATTTACATCATCTATAGATGCATAATTTTCCTCGCTCTTGCTTTTCAGCATTGGGTGGTCCTGAATCCCTTCCTAATTGAGTTCCTGTGACAACTGGTTTGCCGGTCAGTGTATTTATTCTCTAAGGTTAGAAAATCATAAACATTGTAGGTATTTTCATTGTTTAATTAGTTAGCAGTTTTGTTTAAGTTTGTTAGCAGATTAGTTGAATTAGCAGTTTTGTTAACGCACAGGTGATTAAAAAATATTATTTTACTGTAGGGTATTTTCAAGGTGTTTTGCTGAGTCTATAGTAAGCCAGTGTTTCTCAACGTTTATTTCACGAGAATGATCTGAGGATTTTGTTAAAAATGGTGATTCAGGTCCAGCAGGTCTAACGTGGGCCTGAGATTCTCCATTCTAATCAGCTCTGTGAGATGCTCAATGATCCAGTCTGTGAACCAGGCCCTCAAAATAAGAGTCCCCATCTGGTTCACTCGTGCTCCCTAATGCTGAAAATGCAATTTATAGTAAGGTTGCTGATAAAGTGCAACAGATAAATAGTTAGAAGGTGAGTGTTTTAGATTATTTTGTTAATATGAGCTTAAAATTATCCGGCTTCTCCTAATACATGTTGCGTATTTTAAAAGAAGCAACAATGTAGCCTAAGTTTTAAACCCAGATTTGACTTCCAGATTATCCCTTTAGTAGCCAATTGTCCTTGGACAAATTCACTAATTACCTTGTCAAGTTGTGAACATTAGGCTACTTATTTACTCGCAGGTCCCTTGTTTGGAATAAACTGGGTAAATTTATATGATAGCAATAAGCCTGGGATAACGAACCACAGTTACTGTAATAATAACAATCTCCCATTAGAAACTGCTGAAAACTGATGAGAGAGTGTGGAAGAATCACTCGTTGTCAGCCATGAAAGGGACTTTGCGGGTGTTCTCACCCCAGTCTTCCTCTGACACTCAAGTCCCTTCTGGCATGCCATCTTGCCTGAAAAGCTGAGCCTCCTTGCACTTGCTTTGAATTAAAGCATCAGAAACGCCTTCCACGCTCCAACGACAATACTCCTTCCTTGGAGTTCCACTGCAGCTTTGTTCTTTCTTATAAATTCATACAGGAATGACTCCGTCATTTTTCCCTGTGCTGGTCCTCCTGTACTTGATGATTGTCCATAGCTGGCCTCCTTGAGTTCTGTACACCTGGAAAACAATCACTCCTTTCCACTCTGCCCTCTCTTCTATGTTACGTATGTACCTCTGAAAACGGAGCATCCAGAGACAAAAGGCAAGCCTCAGGTGGGCTAATCCCAGGTGTGTACTATAGAATGGGTGCCCCCAAGTCTCTGGTTCTGGGAACTGCAGTTCTCTTCATGCAAACCAAGATCACACTGGTGCTGTGGTGGCACCACAGTAAGGACTCTGTGGAAATTACAGCTGACTGTCGCCATGCGCAACTCCATCACTCCTCTCTCCACCCCTCCTGTGCAGTGGGTTTAGGAGAAGTGTAGACCTTACCACTATTCCTGTCAAAGGCATTACTGTTACATTCCTGTTTTATTACCCTCATGCCAGGCAACATTGATTTAGATAACTTTTCTTTCCACCAACAAATTTGCTGTTCCTCCCCCATTTGACGTCAAAGGTCAGAGAACAATGTTCATCACCCTGATTTCAAAGTTTTTGTCTCAATCATGAATAAAAATCCTGAAAAGGATAATGCTAAACACAAAAATCATAGGGACCAAAAGAGACTTAAATTTATATTTCATAAAGTTATTTTTAATTAAACTGTCATAAAGGATTTTATTACAGCTGCTTTTTTCAAACTAGTATTTAGTGTTACCAGAAGGATTAATGCATATTTATTTAATTGGAAATTATCTCATTTATAGATTAACTGGTCCCTATTGATTAATCTCCTTTCCATTCTGCTGCTTGATTCTTATTTAAGTTCTAAATATTTTTTAAATTTTTTTGAGACACAGACTTGCTCTGTTGCCAGGCACCAGGCTGGAGTGCAGTGGTGTGATCTCCGCTCACTGCAACCTGTGCCTCCTGGGTTGAAGCAATTTTCCTGCTTCAGCCTCCCGAGTAGTTGGGACCACAGGCGCACCCCACTGTGCCCAGTTAATTTTTGTATTTTTTTAGTAGAGATGGGGTTTCACCATGGTCTCAATCTCTTGACCTTGTGATCCACCTGCCTTGGTCTACCAAAGTGCTGGGATTACAGGCGTGAGCCACTGTACTCGGCCTAAAAATCTTTTTAGTAAGTTGATAAAATAAAACAGAATTTAAGAGTATCTAATTGGTTAATTTTCTTAAACAGAATTTAAGACTATCTAATTGGTTAATTTTCTGAGCTATGGGGAGGTGACATACTAAAGTGATGGTGTGTCAATGCCCACAATTCCCATTGCTTACATATTCCAACACTTTCTTGCCTTCCATTTCTTCTTTTAACACTTGGTTTAGTGATAAGGAAAGGAAATACTGGCTTAGCTGTGGAAATATTATACATGTGGCCTTCCACTGTCATACCTCCTTCTGCTCAGTGTTCTGATCACATGGGTATAGTTATGGTTCTTATGCTCGTGAAGGCCAATGGAAAACTTTGCTTCTGGCTGTCGGGAACCTCAGGCACATGAAAAGCCCAAAAGCAGGAGGATGAATGGAGAGGGAGGAATTCAAAGGGGCTGAGGTAAAGCCCAGGAGGAGAAAGTGGCTCCCATCTGTGAGTCAGATCTACTCACACAGAGATAAAGGCAGTGCTGATCACATATTTGATGCTGTCTTATAATAGCAAATGACACATCAGGACTCTGGGACTCTTGTTTGGCCCACATTGAGTAAGCAAGAGTGTCTTCTGCACATTTCACTTTGGTTAATCAGGTGTTGGTGTGTTTCACATCGGCTGACCATGCCCCATCAGGTTGCATAGGACTTCATCTGTGGTGCTGTGCCCAGCAGGAGCTCTTTGGGGCACTCAGATGGGACATAAGGATGCCTTGTGCTTCACATAGCTTCCCATGCGCTCTGGTTTCAGAAATGTAAATAGTTGTTGTTTGCTTAAGATGGGCATAGTAAGCTATATATGCTTTTATCTTAGTCTCCACTTGGGTGTGATGATTGTATCTGATAAGTAACTTTTGGATTAAGAACTTAAGTTAATTCCTGGACATTTCTTTAACTAAAAGGGTTATCAGCACAGGCGAGGCCTCTCACTGGGACTCATCAACTGATCCATTTTATCCAGATTTAATCAGAATCGGCATATTATCTTCCTTTAATCTTTCCTCATTTCTCTAACTAATAATTTACATTTTTTGTTTATAGAGTATAATCCCTATTTCCCATATCAAATCTTGCCATTAGATTCCTCTGAATGCTTTAATAGATTCAAATTGTACTAGTTTACAGGGTTTTATTTTATTTCAAATTTTTCAAATTTGCATTTTTTTTCTTTCTGGTAATTTGGGAGGCAGAAACTTAAACCTCAGACCCGATAGTCATGATTCAGAAGACACTGAACTTGCTGACGTTGACTCCACTGGGTATGTGGCCTTTGCCTCCTACAGAAGCTGCCCGACCACAGCCGTAATGCCCATGATGACAAGGTCTCTGTGTGTCTTTGGAAGGTGTCCAAGGGACAGTGCACAAGCTGACTCTTGGACGCCACAGAGCTGCTGAAATGAGAACTAAGATGAGTCATGTTGAGTCCAGGACTTGGACCATTTATAAAATAGAGAAGTGGACAGGCAAGCCAAGCTAAGAGCAGAGGTTTTATTTAGAACACTGCTGAGTAAGCACCCGAAGCCCACCTGTGCTGCTCAGGCAGTCGGATGTCTCTGCCTTGCCTGATACCTGAGAAAATACCTGACCTTTTGCTTCAGGTAGAAATATTTGCACTGCACACTAAAACCCACCACATTTAACTCCATATCTTTTTACTGCAATTATATATGTAAAAAAACTTTAGAAAGAAATGAGACACAAACTTTTTGTTATAAAGCTTACAGTGTTTGTTTTCTCTGTCTCATTTTGAGGCACTCATTATCTCTTTTTAATTTAAGCATTTCTAGTCATTGTACGTTAGTTACACTATGTATCTTAATTGCTGGTGGCCACATGGCATGTATGAAAACTACACAAATTAAAAAGTTAAGTTTTCAATTGATTTCATGATTAAGTCGATGCAGGGATTATTAAGGATTGCAGGTAGAGTCACATGTAAGATACTCTATAGGACAAGCAAATCCTATTTCTTCAACTAATAAGTGGCATGAAAGAAAAGGGAAGGAGTTGCTTGTAAATGTAAGACATTTAAAATCAAAGCAAAGAAAGACATGATGTCAACCTTGTTTAGACCTTGGTTTAAAGAAACACAACGATGAGAAATCTATGAGTGTTTTAGGAGAAATTTAAAAATGAATTGGGTATGAGATGGTATTAAATAATTGTTACTAATTTAATAGGGATTTTCCTGATGTTCTTGTTGTTTAAAAATGCCCTTATTTTCTAGAGAAGCACCAAGGGGCATTAATTTTTATTATTATTTTCAATTAATTAATTTCTTTTTTTTGAGACAGAGTCTCACTCTGTCCCCCAGGCCAGAGTGCAATGGCACAATCTTGGCTCACCGCAACCTCCACCTCCCTGGTTCAAGTGATTCTCCTGCCTCAGCCTCCCAAATAGCTGGGATTACAGGCATGTACCACAATGCCTGGCTCATTTTGTATTTTTAGTAGAGATGGGGTATCCTCATGCTGGTCAGGGTGTCTTGAACTCCCGACCTCAGGTGATACTCCTGCTTCAGCCTCCCAAAGTGCCGGGATTATAGGCGTGAGCTACTGCACCCAGCCAAGGGGCATTTATAGTTAAAATAAAATAGTAGTATTGAGTTGCTGTGAAATTCAACAAAGCAAAGAAAAAGACATGGCCAAATGTGGATTGCTGTTGGAGATCAATGGTGGGTACAGGTAGAGTCACTACACCATTCTCTTCCAGTTGGTGCATTTTTAAAATTTTTCATAATAAAACATATATAATAAATTAAATAATATTAACAAAGACTCTAAACATTTAATATTGCAGCCTTAATAACAGTGTAAATC